CTACCACTATATATATATATATATATATATATATATATATATACACCCCTACTCTGCCCAAATGGCCCCCTCCCCTCCCCTCCCCTCCCCTCCCTTCAAGTTGTTTTTGGGCGGCTGCCTCTGTGTTTTTGAAGACTGCTTACGCATTAGTTTGAAAGACTTATTTTAAATTCAATTTTGTTTAAGTACTTGCTAATGCAGAGTTTTTAAGCTTTACTATATGCACACTTTTCTCGACATTATCACTTCCATATGCATTTCTTTAAGGATATGCTTCAAATGCCTTTTCTCTCTATTTTGCATTAGTACTTGACTGAGAAGTTATTCCTTTTATCTTGACTTGCAAAAAGTTACAAGACTCAGTTCTCTTTAAACAATGCGCTACAGTTTCTAGACTGCATACAAAAGCTGACAAACAAAGCTGATTTCCCCCATTATTTTTCTCCATTAAACATTTGCTTGTCAATTCACGATGGATGTTGCGACCCTTTCTTTTAGATCCAAGATTTGAAATTAAATTATTACTGAGAGGAAACAGAATATAAGCAACTTGAAATTTGTGATAGACATTCATGGAAATGTATTTGTTTTCTTTTCCTTGGAAATTGTTGACGATTATCTTGTTCTTTCTGTTTACAGTTAGGTCAGAAATTCTCTCAGCCACCAGTAGAGGATGTCTATTACACCAGGACGAGAAACATGTTGACAAACCTTGGACTTCAAAACTATGAGAGTAACTTCAAGAAAGGTCTGCTAACTGATCGTACGCTACCTCTACTCAATGACAAGTAAGTCGAGGCATTCTCCCTGGTTCTTTCATTTTGCAATAGTCTTTACATGAGATCCATTATAACCTCTTTTAACTTCTCATATTGTTCTTTGCAGTGCTCTTAGAGATGTGAAGATCCCTCCAGGGCCTAGGCTTCTCATTCTCGATCATATTCAAAGGTGTATATAATGCATCCCAACCTTTGGTTAATGATTCTTGATTCATATTTCTTATGGTATGAACCTGCTACTTTTAGCAAATATCATCGGAATTCGATTTTGAAAAATGCTTTATTAACCTTTTTAATAAGGAAGAAGAGAGAAATTGTGAAAATTTGGAACTAGCTCTGCCACAAGCCTGGAAGGTGGGCCATTGTAAAAGGACTTCTTTCAAAATTTGTGACCCCAAATCCCGAAATATCTTGATTAGTTTTGGACCAATATGCACATCTTCCCCCCCCCAAAAAAGTCTCTTTCCAAATCTCTAGTTGGGTTTGCTGCTAATGTCTCATTTTGCACTCTCAGGGACCCAGAGCTGGTGAAAGAGAGGAGATAAGGATGTAGCCAAAAGAGGAGGTGGGGATGTAAGTTTTGGTACATTTTTAGCTTGTTCCAATGACATTGTGTTTTGATCTCGTTATGTCGACAAAAATAGTCTTATTGTTTATTCCCTTGAAAATCACCAAAAAATCGTCTGTCTACTGTTATTGCAATAATATAGCAAGAAACATGGATGTCAGAACTGTTGAACTACATCTCATAAAAATGAAAGGGTGTTCAATCACATACCTTGATGGCAAAAAATAATATCGAAAAGAGAAGTGAAGAAACTAGTAAGCCTAGAAAAACTTAATTGCGGATATCCAACAAACTGTAATTTAGCGTTTGACCTCCTTGAGGCTATGCGCAAAGTAAAGAAAGGTGGGGTCTGTCGCCCGTTCTTTATAGTATGCGATAACTAGGGTCTCATCATCATGCATGCTCTTTGTTACAAAGCTGCGAAAACTAGGATGAAAACATCAGTCAACACGGTAGCTTGGCACACTGGACGCTATTCTACTTCTGTGTACATGGATATGCATTACCTCCCTACATATTGATGGTATTTGTTCTTTTTCTTTTTTTTAATGGTATAGGGTGTTGGATATCTCATGCCATGAAGAACAAGATTTGACTGCTTTTCTATAAGTAGTATA